AATGTTTATAGTTTCTGAATTTAAAACAAGTATTTGTAGGAAAAATAAAAACAGAAAAAATTATCATATACCTGTTAACTATTTAAAATTTATCAGCGTACATACAATTTAATGAAGCTCTGAAATTATAATATATATTCCATTCTGCATTAAACAAAACCACATCTATCTGATAAAATATCAACACATAAGTCTTATTTAAATTTTATAAAAATTATCTCAGCTATTTCTCATAAAGTCATCAGATTTCACTGGTGGGGACATTTGGAACTAATCTCCATTCTTCAGAATTTAGAATGGATTTGTTTATTTATTGGGGGAAAATAAATAAAATAATAACAAAATTGCAACATAAAAGATTATTTACTAACCTTTTATTGTAATTTTTAAGAAATCTCCAGAATTACCTAATAAATTATTGATGAATTTCAACTTCAATAAAACACATGTCACTTGTGTATTTCAATTGACAGACTGGTTAACTCCAATTTTAATCTTTCTTTCATTTTGTTAGTATCAATTGTATTTCTGTTTCTTCTTTAGAAAATTATTTACTTTTTTTTTTCAAAAGAATGGCAGAAATATTTACTATCAATTATCAATAACTAATACTTCTGGAATGATTTTGAAAAAAATAAGACTTTCAACGAAAAACACTTCTGAAAAATGTTGAAATACGAGTTTATCATTGTGTCAATTGAAGCGCTGAAATATAGTTTCGGGTCCATCAATAGACTACAATTCCATTTGTAATATATAACACAAAACTAATAATATTAAATTAGAAATTAATTGATAATCAATTAAGGTAATTGAATCTAAATGGTAAAATATTATTGGTATAATATAATTAACATTATTGAAATAATATTAAATTGTTTATGCATGAACCCTACCTTGCCATATTCTAAACTAATCTAAATTCGAACTTAAAAAGTTTTAATTTCATCTTCAGTATTCATCTCGATATATTATGTTCTCCTTTATAAGCAACTTCCATTGCACGATTTTGTATTTTTAATTTATTAAAAAGTTATAATCATTTTTAAAATTAGTTTTATGAATTGAAGCATAATAAATTTCTACATGAGTATGTGAATAAAATTTTAATTTTTTACTATACTTTAACAATTTTTTCCAAATATGTTTGTAACAATTTGAGAAATCTAATGTGCTCATTATTTTATTTTATTTTATGCTATTTGTGGATTAATATTCAAACAAGGAGAGTTGAATGTAATTTAGACTCACATCGAATATACAATCAAATAAATTATAACATTATTAAGTAGGATATTATAAAAATTGTATCACATATCATTGATATAAAAAAAATAAATAATAAAAACCTATAAATTATGAAGAGCCTTTGGTTCATGATTTTGTAAGGGAGTATTTTTTTTGGCCAACGGTTCTACAAGTAGATGGTTTGATCGAGATCACCCTCAACCACCAGGTTTTTCTCTTAATTAATTATTTAATTAATATACAGGGTTTATAGAGGCTGTGTCCCAAAATGCCCTGGGTCGATCCACAGCTGATATAACTGAATAAACAATTAGCTGGCTTAGATCACAGTGTCATAGTGAGCTACCACACCCTCCCCCCCTTATAAATATAAAAAATAATAATAAATATATTTTTTAACAAAAAAAAAACATTAATAATTATTGCAATCAGCTAGCCAAAAGATGGGGCAGTGTTTAACCCAAAATTTTGTAACAAACAGATTATTAATATTCTTACTAAAGAGTAAAAAAAAGAAAAATTTGTGTTTGCTTACTCTCATAAATAGTTATAATGATAATTCAATATGAGTGTAATATAAATTGAATTTAAGATATTGCCATATAAGAAAAAATATATTTGTTCACTCATTCTAGTTTAATTTTTTGTCAATTTCAAACATATTTTAGGATATTTAATAATTCTTCTTTATTAATAATTTTTTTAACAAATATTAAACAAAATTAAACAATGTTATATTTATTCTCTATTTAAAATTTGTTAAAATTCAAGCTTTTATCTTGTTTATGATATAAACAAAAAGTAAGTTAAATTCAAATAATAAAAATAAAGAAAATATATTCCATTTTGTAAAAATAAAGCTATGTATTGAGCTTTATTCAATTCACTTGCAATGATAACAAATTACTTTCTAATAAAATAAAATTTAAAAAAAAAAATGTCAGTAATCAAAATATACATACACTGAAAATACTGATTTTTTTTTTATTACAGAAGACAATATTCTTATGTTTATTAATATTTAAAAAATTAATTTCTACTGAAAGTAGAAAGTATACACTACCGAATCCAAGAAGGGAGGGGGACATTTCAGTCTAAGGCCCCATCAAAAATGTAAAAATATATAATTTTGATTGGTCCATATTGATTTCTGAGTGATTTGAGCTAAATGCGAGTTCTAATTAAGATTTTGTGTGCTGGTGATACAGTTTTACATAAATACTAATGATTAAATTGTGATTAAAAAAAATGTTGATCAGAAAATAAAAATCACCTTTTATACACAAATATAAGATACATTTTAATATGTGTATATACGTTATTGATGAACACATTTTTTAATATTATATTTCTGAAGTTGCTTTAATTGTATCATGCACTATACATATATATATTTATTTTTTTATTATAATGCAAAATTTCTAATGAATTATGTAACAATGTATCACCAGCACACTAAATCTAATACTCAAAATATAGCTCAATGATCACAAGAATGGAGATTGACAAATCAAAATTATATTTATTATTTTAAAAAGTATTGCCTAACAGGAATATGTACCTCCATTCTTGATTCGTTAATGATCAAAAATAAAAATCGCTTACAATAAAAATCATTAAATGATTAAAAATAATTTCAGATAAAAATTTGATTTTTATATTTTTAATTATAGTTATCAACGCATAATTTACAGAACTAATAATGCACGTTTCAGGATATATATATATATATATATATATATCCTAAATGCATTATTGTTCCTGTAATTATCGGATTTTTATTTTAGAATTAAAAACTTCTACAGGCACGTTTTGCACTTTTTGTGCAAGATTGAGCCGTCAGATTTCCGATGTGTAACGCTCTGTTAAAGTCGGCTGGAGTCGACTAATTGAAGTGATATTGCATATAAAATTAAAATATCTCGGAAACTAAAAATCGGGCCTGCATACTGTAAGGGAGGGAATTGTTCAAAATTTAATCCTCTCTATAATGGATTATTATTGATAATTGTATCTTAACGCAACGCCGTGTTAGAGAGGCGAAAAAGAAAAATAGTGTCGAAAACCAAATGATAACGAATTTTATGGAAGATGTGGATTAAAATATCTCTGAAACTAAAAATCGGATCTGTATACTGTAAGCGAGAGAAATGTTCAGCATTTCATCCTCTTTATAATGAGCTATTATTTATAATTTATATTAGATATTATTAATCTCGTCTTGTTGATGTTTTCACTTCTATCGTGTGGTCTAAAGCACACACCTTAATTTTTTTTTAATGGCCGTGAGATTTGACGCAATATCCTATTTTGCAGATAATTTTAGTATATTTTGAAACCGGCTTTCAACGGCCATTTAAATATTATTTTATGTAGGTTCTTTCTTTTCCTCTCATAATAATTACAGTTATTAAGAAACAAAAGAGATCTGTCTGAATACTTAAACAATTAAATTAGTAAAAAAAAAAAAAAAACCTTTCAAACAAACTTTTGCCATCCGCTTCTGATGATAAAATGAAGTTGAGTGATCTCTCCAGATTTATACAGAAATATGCCTTATTTATATTAAGTATTAAATTTTTTTGGTTTATTATTTTCAATAATGAAACATTGTGATCGACCAAAAGATTCAAAAATTCAAAATTTGAGGTTTCACGTTTCAAGACGCGTAGAATTCGAAAAACGAATAAAATATTTTTTTGTCCGTCCGCCGTCCGTGCATTTTCTCCTAAACTACTGGACCTATTTTTCTCAAATTTTGATATAAAATCAGAGGTCATCCGAGGATGATCCTCCTTTATCGACATTACTCTCCGCCTTTTACTTTCAAAATTGCGTCCGAAAAACCTGCGTTCCTATAGACTGTAGCTCCTAAACGAATGTACAGATTTCAATGAAACTTCGCTAAAGTAATTTTCTCGACGCCCTTTAAATTTATCTATATAACATACTTCAACGAAAAGAAGCTGGAAAAAATTTACGAGGGATGTTAAAATTAAATTCCGAATAACTCGAAAAGTTTTTACATTTTTGTTGATATGATATATAGTTTTTTAAAAGTATACGAAATTTCCTAAAAAAAAAAAAAAAATGTTAAAATCGGACAATTAGGAGCAAAGATATGGTCTCCGGTTTTTTTTTTATGTGTTTACTACAAATGTTATATCCTAGGTTTGGTTCTTAAATTTTAAATATGTTACTGAACGAATGCTATTTTTTTTAGCATATTACTAATGATTAAAGAAAAACAGTTTAGTCCAATAATTGGAATCACCTTTTGTTTTGTTTTTTCTTTGTAACTCGGAAGGTAATGTTACTTTAGATGTATAATTTTTTGGAGATTAAATAAACCATTGTGAAATAATTTGCAGCGTTTTTAAAGAATATTTTCAAGTTTTTAAATTTCTATTATATTGATCTATCAAACACGATTAGAAGACCTTTAGAACAAAGACCCCTAGCCGCTCTGTTTGCTATTGCTTCCGAAGATAAGATACGGGATAAACTCTATTTAAAAGACGCCTACTCCAGTGAGGAGTGCATTATCGCCCACCCCACCCCGAACTGCATTCTGCATTCTTCTCCTATGTGCTTCGAGTGCAGGCCTTGAAGTTCTGTGTCTTTTTGCAAGTCGTAGCCCGAGTGCTCTGTCTCTCTCTGGCTAAGTCCTTCCGAGGACAACACGGACTTTGCCCCCTCGCTCGTTTCGCAAAGTCCCAGAGGATATCCAGGAGTCGACCAGGCAGCATATCATGAAGATCGTCAACGCCGTACTCACCAAGATCGTCGAGATATATAATGTGTCGGTAAGGCGAAAATATATTTAAATTTGTATTAACAAAAAATTAAAAAAAAAAAAATTCAGTGCACCACTCAAATTCCAATTTTTTTTAAAACTTATTTATTGAAAAATATTACAATCTGTCTCAAAGAACATTTATAGTAGTGTTCAGAGATCACATTCACACTTTATGTACAATAAATAAAATAAATTATACAGAAAAATAATGTATATACAATAAATAAATAAAAAGAACGAAAGAACCAAATTTCAATAGAGATTTATTTTATATTAATTCGTATACTTTAAGAATATTAATTTTACATTTTTTTTCTTCCTTCCATATCCCCAGGATACAATATTTTTAAGAACGTGATTTCTTAATAGTTAATGCTTCTAATGCCTTTTTATATAACTGTGTTACATTTTAATGCTTCTGAGTGGAATTACCAATGCATGATGGGTTGTTTACAATTTTTTTTATACTATAAATAAAAAATTAAAATAGTTAACGTGAAGTATACGAATTCTGTGGAATTTGATTTGTTTCTTTTTTTTTTCAAAATAAAAATTTAATTCAAAATTTTCCATTCATGTTCTGTGGAAATTTCATAATAAAAAATTGGGTTTACAAATACATTTATATTCACTTTTTGAAGTATTTAGGTTCGTTTTTTAAAAATAATTGCAACATCGATTCATTTTTTTTTCTTTTTGTACAGATATTGATATATATATATCTCATTTTCCAGAAAAATCTATTACACTTTCACTATAAATAAAACTTGCAGCAATTAATCTAAATCATTAGAATTCTGAGGCCTATGTATAATTTAATTTTTTTTTTTTTTTGCTGAAAATTAATTTTAGAACTTTAGTTTCTAGGAAAATTCCTATAGCTTCCATGGAAACATTTATTTTCCATTTAATATTAAAAAAAATTAATAATAATCGATTTGAAGAGAAAAAAAATTATTTGCCATCTAACATTCAGTATACATTCGTCTTAAATTAATTAATAAACCGTAAGAAATAAAAATTAAATAGTTAAAGTATTACATTTATGTGCCTTATGAAAATTTTTTTTCGTCAAGTTGAAAATTAATTATAAAAGTCTCAATTCAATTGTTGAGAGAATTTCATTTAATTTCCTTGGTAACATTTATTTTCTATTCACTAATGTAAGATTAATACTTATTTACTGTCATTATTATTATTCACTATTTCTTCACCTTCTATTATATATATATATATATTTGAATTTATATGATAGATTAATTTAATTTTCTAAAATATTAAACTTTTCAAGAATATATTATATAAATATAAATGAGTGATATTAATTCCGAAAATTCATTTTATACGTGGATAAATATTTCTCCTTCCTTTCATTTGTTTAAGTAACAATTTAAATTTTGTTTCATTTATATTTTATACATATAGCCATTTTTTCAACTAATAATAATAATGACGGAGGTTTAATTATTCAAAATTTAAAAAAAAATTAAATCCAGTAAGACTGTTTCACTAAAGATATAATAGTTGTATTAAAGACCATTTACTCGACACTGTATGACAAGTATATTCTAAATTGTTTCGATAAAACTGTAAAAGTGATAATATAAAATGGCGTTTCTGGTTTAAATTGTAGTACAACTCTTCAGTTTTAAGCTATGATGTTCACAGACACACACGGACCATTTTTTTATTCATGATTATTTGGACGCTGAAGATTTTAAACCGTGTACTTCCGTTGAAAAAACGGATTAAAAATTTATCAAGAACGCAATACTTCCTCTTGTATTTAAGGGGGAGGGGGGGTAGGGATTAAATCTAATAATCAATTCATTGGGATGCTATCTTCTATTAATATTTTTTTTTACAATGAAAAAGCTCTATTTTTTCTGAAATCAATCAATAGAAATTATTTTTTTTTAATTAAATCAGTAATTAAGTTATAAATTTTGAAAATTAAGATGAACTTTTCTAATTTTATTTGTTTCATTGTAGAATACTAATTCATTTTTAATCAAAGATTTTTTTCTTCTTATAAAATTAATATTATTGTTTCTATTTTTCTATTATTTGTTAATATTTCCACATTAAATTTTTTTTTTTTTTAATTGGTTTCTTTAAAACATTTTTTTAAAAGTAGATTATCTAACTGAACTAATATTACATGTGACAAGATTTTTAGTAGGATTTTTTTTAAAAATTATTGTTGGACGAAATCTACTTATATTAGTACCTAGTACCAAATATTTAATCGCTATTAGAAATTTAATCACAAATTCAGTTGACCACCTGTACTTAGTCTGTACTTAAGAACCGATTAAATTCCTCATTATTCAGACAATATTTGTCTAAAATTCGTCCATTCCTGGTCTAAATTCCACCGGAGAGTTAATATCATCGGTTCAAAGGAAACATAAACAGAGCGATATAGCTTCAAGATAACGTAATCTTTACATAGACCAATGTCCGCCAATCCTATTTTAGGAAATATATTTGTGTGTGATAATATATGTATATATATATATATATATATATATATATATATATATATATATACATATTTATATATTAATTTATAAGATAATATCACTTACATCCTTTCACTGGTTAATACTTATTTAACTGCTTTAATTTTTTGTTTTATTTTTAAAAAAATTTATTTATTTATCATCTCTATTCTAAAGGATAATTGGCGTTATGCTGTTTGGTTCTGTAAATTATCGATATATTATTTTTAAAAATACAACCTGACTTGTTTATCTCTTGGCTTGAAGAAACAACAACTATCACCTTTAGGAAAAAAACAATTCAATTACCTCTATTGTCATAATTGAGTCTCAATAACGCATAGCCTAAGTTAAAAAATATTTAAAGTTTGTCCTTCGTCTTGTTAATGCATTTCATAAAACAAATAACCATAGGTTAGTAAATATTGCGTATTATTAGATTTATATTAGAAAATCCTCAACATTTAGTGTGAAAACCATTTAAAAAAAAAATTATTGATAAGTGAAACATTAAAAGTTAAACGAAGAGCTTCCTACCATTATTTACCGTTGAGTTACCAATTCACTTTCTACATTCACATCGACCATTTATTATGGTAGGTTCAAATGTGAAATAAAAAAATCAGGTGCGTTGCGCCCATCACTCAACTTTCACTTACCACCCGCTTGTTAGCAGAAATAAGTATTTTCAGACAAAGGAAAGTGGAAGTGAAAATTATAAACGCTATATTGATTTATATTTCATTGTGGGTATTTTTATTTGTTTAAGTATCCTTATATATATATATATATATATATATATATATATATATATATATATATATATATATATATATATATATACAGATTTTAATATTCATATCCCTGTAATCTATGCAATTAAATATTAAATAATACCAACGAAAAAAATTAGGAAAATTGCATATGTATATGTACATAATATTGTCGGAGTCCATGTCACGTATAGGAAGCCTGTTCTAATCTTCGGGCCAACTCAGGTTAGCTCGTATCCATTTAATTCTTTCAGTACAACTATTCTCTGTTACGATCTCTTATTTCTCCGTTAGTTAATTATCAAATTCTTTCATATTTTTATATTTAACTATTTTTTATATTAGAGATCAATTTAAAATCGTTAGTTGTTTAAAAAAAAAAAACAAATAAAGATATGTTAGAAGAAGAGATTTTGAAAATCGGCATTTACGTTCTGTCAGGTTGCATCGATGAGGATAAAACCTAGCTTAAATTAAAAAACTTCGACTCACTTCGAACCTCCATACCAGACTGAAACGACTAGAAACCGCCCGACTTTTTCGACTACTGCAGCACTTACTAGACAAACGATCTAAGCTTTCAATCACTTATAAACGACTCGTGTATATGACAATAATAAGACCTATTTGGACTTACGGAATTGAGCTTTGGGGCTCTACTAAACCATCGAATTCCTCTCGTATCCAATCCTTACAATCCAAAATCCTTCGTAAAACCCTCAACGGTCCTTACTTTGTCACAAATAAAATCATCTATAAAGATCTTAATGTACCATATGTTTCCGATCTGGCCCAATCGAGATACCTTTCCTTCCATAACAAACTGCAGAACCATCCGAATCTTCTCGTTTCAAACCTTGCTTCCTCCTCGATCCCTGATAACCCTCCGAGGCGTCTGAAAAGAAGATGGCCTCGGGATCTTCTAATATAGAACTTTAATTTGAGTTCTACCAATGGGTAGTTTCTCTTCATGTTGTACATGCCATGTTACAAATTTCTCATTTACTTATTGTATTCTCTATGTAATACAGTTGTAAATTCCATTAAAATAATAAAAAAAAAAAATTAAAAACCACTTATTAATGCACTGACCTAATGAGTTAAATCATATTTTTTTTAGAAAATCGTAAAAATGTGTTAAATCGATAATACAAAGTACCACTTCCATTTTGCTGATTTTGACTCAAAACTTGCTGTAAATCCTAGGAATAAACAAATCTTAAATTTCAGTTTCGTACGACTTTTCGTTTTTGAGCTAGGCTGTTCAATGATGGGTAAAAAAATGTAATTTTTTTGAGTTAATACCTTAATGAGGATTAAATATATAAAAATTCCTCACACACTTTTATTTTATATCTACAGAACTAATATGTATGGAGGTCTAGTTTGAGTTGTACCGTGTAGTTTATGTGACCCCGCAAATTTTCGTGTGTATTGGTGGATGCCAGTTAAAGTTTTCACACTTTTAGTGAATTTCGAAAAAAAAATCCAAGGGGCGGGAGAGGAAAAAAATCTTTGGCTCCAATATGCAAAAAAAAAAATTATTGAATATTTAATAGTTGACCATTGTATTATAAAGGAAGGTGATGGTCCGGGGTTGCATTAGCATCTATTTACTTCAGTTTAGGATCTTGTTACTCAGCTTACTTTGTCCATATTTTATTGTACTTACTGTTTATAACTTTAATAAACTTATTCACATTGTTTATAAATTATGTCTAAATAGTATG